TACTCAAAAATTAGAGTTATAGAAAAGCTTCTTCCATTGATATAATCACACATCATTATAGAATTTAAACAAGAAAGCTTATTTTACACGCCCACAACCCAAGACAACACCCACCCCCTCTCAGACTAGCAAACACGGTCATTATCTAACTAAGCGAGAGCAAACACAACAGCCGCCTAGAATAGTTTTGATCCTAGCAATCAAAAAAGCTTCAAGCAAACAACCACCAAATAAAAAGCTTAAGCCGTCCCCAGCGAAGAGCAAGCAAGCAAACGAACAGATATAGAAGAGACAACAAAAGCTTATTGTAAATATTGTTTTTGTAGGTGCCATTGCGCTCCAAATATCATCAGCAGCAAACGCAACAGCATCAGCAGCCGCTTTTTAACTGTGGCATTCTCACCCATACTGTGAGTGGAAGAACACCCCCACCCCCTGAACCACATCCCAGTTTGAAAGGAAAGGAGTGTTCTTCGACAACAACAGCAACAACAACAACAAGAAAACACCACAAAAAGCAAAACAACCGTTATCATAATTTTAAATCACCCAAAAGAGCGTAAGCAAACAACACACACAGAGAGAACTTAGAGAAGAAAACAGCAAAGAAAAGAGCAAACATGGGTCGTCTTTTAACAAAACGATTACCGTCGTCATCGTTACAGCTGATCGTAGCACTTTGTGTGCTCTTGGCGTCCTGCACAATAACGCTCACACTGGCTGCCGATGATGAAAATGATACCTCCACTCTGAAAGCTGTCACCGATGCCCTGGTTGCCCGTGCGGCCGCCTCTTCCCCCACCGACGATGCTAATGGCGACGACGACAATGACGCCAATACATCGCCGGCGTATTCATTGGCCGATGCAACGACAGCCAGATCATCGGGTTCGACGCCCGACAATGTTTCAGTCGCCATGGGCTATGGCTCAGATCTCAAGTGTTCCGAAGGTCTGGTGATACCGTTATGGCACCCTCTCACCAATGTCAGTATGGGCGATCGTGTGGCACGCGGCCTGTTCTATTTCTTTGTCATGGTCTACCTGTTTATCGGCGTTTCAATTGTATCCGATCGCTTTATGGCAGCAATTGAAGTGATCACGTCCAAGGAGAAGGAAGTGGTGATCAAAAAGAAGAATGGCGAGAAGCAAATTGTGGTCGTGCGCGTGTGGAACGAGACCGTTGCCAATCTGACCCTTATGGCCCTGGGTTCTAGTGCTCCCGAAATCCTACTCTCTGTCATTGAAATGTTTGCCAAGAACTTCGAGGCCGGCGACCTCGGTCCCGGCACCATTGTCGGTTCAGCTGCCTACAATCTGTTCGTGATTATAGCTTTGTGCGTTCTGGTTGTGCCCGATGGAGAGGTGCGCAAAATCAAGCATTTGCGTGTGTTCTTCGTGACGGCCACGTGGTCGGTGTTTGCCTACATCTGGTTGTATCTGATTCTGGCTCAGATATCTCCTGGTCGTGTTGAAGTATGGGAGGGTCTGCTGACGTTTATGTTCTTCCCCGCCACCGTCTTGACCGCCTATATTGCGGATCGTCGTCTGCTTATCTACAAATATCTGGACAAAAATTATCGCATGAACAAGCGTGGCGTTATTGTGAGCGCTGAGGGCGACGCTGCGCTCGAAATGAACCAGCAAGAAAATGAGATCAAAGCTTTGGAAGAGACGGAGGAGATGAAAGACTTTGAGGAGGCGCGACGTGAGTACATTTCGTTGCTAAAGGACCTGCGCAAGAAATATCCACAAAGTGATCTGGAGCAATTAGAAATGATGGCACAGGAGCAAATGATAAATCGCGGTCCCAAATCGAGGGCCTTCTACCGCATTCAGGCTACCCGCAAAATGATGGGTAGCGGCAATATTATGCGCAAAATCCAAGAGCGGGCCCAGAGTGATTTGAGCGAAGTCAAAGCTCAGTTGCAACGTGTCGACGTTGCGTCGGACGAAGAAGAAGCTCCGCTGCGTATCTTCTTCGAGCCCGGCCATTACACCGTCATGGAAAGTTGCGGCGAATTTGAGGTTCGTGTCGTCCGTCGCGGCGATATATCCGGCTATACCACAGTTGAATATCAAACTGAAGATGGTAGCGCCGAAGCGGGCAGTGATTATGTGGGCAAGAAGGGTGTTCTCACCTTCCCACCGGGCGTCGACGAGCAACGTTTCAAAATCGAAGTAATCGATGACGACGTTTTCGAACAAGATGAACACTTCTATGTGCGTCTCAGCAATCCCTCGGAACCGGCTGTACTGTCGGTGCCGAAAGTGGCCACCGTCATGATTCTGGATGACGATCATGCTGGCATATTTGCGCTTAGCCAAAAAGATCACGAATTGGTTGAATCGGTCGGTGCTTACGAATTGAAAGTGCAACGTTATTCGGGTGCGCGTGGCAAAGTGATCATCCCCTATTGGACGGAGGATGGCACGGCAAAGGCGGGCAAAGATTTTGAACCACAACAAGGCGAATTGGTGTTTGAAAACAATGAAACAGAGTGAGTATTGGAAAGATTTTCAATTTGAATTTATTACTGTAAGTTCTGAGATGTAAAAAGAAATGCAAGGGGGGATGCAGTTTGTTTTAATTATTTTGGGGTGCTTATTCTAGATATAGTTTTCATAGGAATATACTGGGGAACAAATAGACTTTTCTCCATACCAATAGGACTTTATTTTATTAGAGCCAAAATTAAGTCTTGTTCATAAAAAGATTTATTCTCCTGGAAAATAAGAATCGTTTTCTTCTCATGCAGTAGAGCTGCAGGTCTTCTCATGCAGTGGAGCTGCAGGTCTTCTCATAGTGGAGCTGTAGATCTTCTCATAGTGGAGCTGTAGGTCTTCTCAGAGAAGACCAGGAAGGTCTTCTTATAGATGACCAGGAAGCTCCTCTCATCGATGACCAGGAAGGTCTTCTCATAGAAGAGCATAAGGTCTCATAGAAGAGAGGTGTAGATCTTCTCATAGATGAAAGCTGTAGGTCATAAATGCACAAAACAGTACGTTTGCGTTCATCTCACAGAAGAGCAATATGAGAACTAATAGTTTTCCTCACAGAAGATCAATAGATCTTCTCATATATGAGAAAAAGGTCGGTTGAGAGTTTGAGTAATAAGCGTTTTTATTATTTACTTATACATCTTAGGTCTTTTTTTCATAGAAAACTAAATATTATACTTCTTACAAAAGGGTAATAGGCCTTCAATTCCCATACTCATATAAGAGCACTTGTCGAATTCATTAACACTCAAAGGAATTTTCATGGCATTCCAAAGCAGTCATAGTATATTTGCTATGCTATTCAATTGGGATGACCTTGAAATATGTATCCTTTAACTTCATGAAATCGTTATTTACCCTCTATACCCTTCCACTCTTCTTTGACTTGTTTGTTTCTCCCACATTAAATAACTGACAATATATATTGTGTGTAATTAAGATTATAAAACACGCTAGCCGCCAGTGTGTCAACCACAAAACAGCAACAACTACATGCATACACACACACACATACACCAACTCGATCATAAAAACGGCGTCAAGTTGAAAAAGAAAGTTCTTTGGCTATAATTTAAATCCTAGCCAACCCAGAATGACATAATGTTCTATGAACTATTGAGCTAAGGCGATGCAAAGAGTCTTGATCAGACTGCTTATGGTTGCCAGGCTGTTTTTTTTTTTTTTTGTTACTTTTGCTTTCATAAATTTTATAGCCATGACTGTTTGGTTGGTTTGTTTTGAGTTTTTTGTTTCGTTTCCATCCTTTGTTCTTTCCATTAGATTCGCGTAATATTCCTTATTAAATATTCTGCTGCAATACATGTCACCACACATACACTCACACCATAGCCAATATAAACTATGATTCCCTTTTGAGTTATACCGCATATATGCACTCACACATACACATTCTAAATGGTTGCATTGATGTCCATTCGTATGGTGGTTATGAATTGACAAACACGTTCTGCTCTCATAATTATAGTGGCATTTCCGGCCACTGTCACGTGTCTGCCGCTGTTGGTGGTGGTTCCTTTTGGGGTTTTTGGTCAATTTTTCTCTTTGACGTTGGTTTTGTTTGGGGTTTTCCACAACAATTACCATATTGGGTTTTTTGTGCTTCTTTGTTTTTACTTTTTTTTTTTTTTTTGCTGTTGCCCTGAGGAAGATTATAATAACCTTGACAATGCTAAACTGACGTCTGAGCTCTAAACAAATAACAGTTATATGGATAAGATGGTTTAAATTTTATGGGTATTTTTGTTTTTCATTCTTTGGTTTACTAATTTCCGCTTAGGCTGGGATAATGTGATGAAATGGTTAGTTTGGTTCTATAGAGGTTATATAGAAAGCAGTTAAATATTTTAGTTTCAAAAGTTGTTTGGACTTTTCATATCTTGGTCAGAAACAGCTCAGACACATCTTTGCTAAATTAGGTTGAGATCGGTCCAGATTGCATTTAGTTCCCATACAGGGTGAGATAAAAAAACTGAAACAAAGTCATATGTTTAATTTTTTTTTTAAATTTTATTAAATGAAAGCAAAAAAATTCGGAAATAGCATCAAATTTTAGAATAAGTTTAAATTTTTTCGGATTTGTCACTTTGCCACGAATTATGGCCTTTAAACGGCCAATGAAATCGTCACACGCTGCCCGAATGTTGCTTTGCGGTATTTTGACACATTGCCGGCGAAGCGCTTGCTTGAGGTGATGGACAGTTTGGTTTGGTATTTGGTATTTTTGGTTGGTTTGGTATTTGGTTTGGTATTTTTTAGTGCCATCCGTGCTTTCCAAAATACTCCGGACACAAAAGTCCAACGGATTGGTATCCGAACCTCATTTGAACCATTCTTGGGTGGCGCGTGCTGAGTGCGATGGTGTTGAGTCCTGCTGGACAACGAATGTTTTCTCATCGGAGAAAACAAAATTCGGCAGTTCACCATTTTCGGCCAAACGAAGCAACTCCTTAGCTCTTTTGAGTCTATTTTCTTTCTGTTGCGGCTTAAGTTCTTGCACTTTTTGGAATTTCAATGGCTTTACCCCGAGCTCATTTTTCAATATTTCCCGAATGGAATATTGCTATATGTTCCGCTCATGAGCCATTTTTCGGCCATTGCGACGCGGGTTTCGATCAAGTCGCTTATTTACTTTTCGAACTACTTCTGCTGATGTTGCTGTTTTCTTCAGTCCGCTTCCTTTATGTCGGGCTACGCTACCAGTATCACAGTAACGAGTGATGGTATGAGACACAAAAGATTTATTCACATTTAAATGCTGGCCTCTAACGATAGCCATTTGTGGTTTTCCAGCCAAATATAAAGAAATCACACTATCACGCTTGAATTCAATTACGAATAACTTTTTTTTCTGGAAATTTCTCACCAAAATGCTTTTGTACGCTTGTAAACATTATAATGTTTAATGACGAGTAACTTACTATGCACCAATTAAGTAATATCAGCCTAAATGGGACGGGTTTTTGCACATAAAGTCATAATACGCATTCACATAAATTCCCAATTGAATTAAATTTGTTTTTTTTATTTTATCAAAATGGGTAGCGAAGCGCACCGGGTTTACCTAGTTGTGGTCTATAAAACATTTTTTCTGCAAACTTGCCACTTTTTCAAAATTCACTGCCAATTGTGTAAAACTTAAACTGAGAAACAACCCAAATGGGGTGTATGGAATTCTAACTCAATTTTATAATATTAGGATTTTAGATTCATTTTTTTCATGAATTACACGAACAACAACAAACAAAGAAGACACTTGTATCGACGTTTTGAAACTTTAAATCGAAACGAAATTGTATGTTACTTACAGACGTCAACTAAAAAAAAGTCCCAGGAAAAATTGGTCAAAAATGAGAGAATATTTTTTTTTTTTTTTTTTTTTTGAACATTGTGGCAGATTTCTTTTCTTTCGTGACTTATATATTTTTGTCTTCGACGGCATCCTTCTTAAATGATGTTTCCTTTTTAACACTTCCCTTGAACTCCAATACAATAATAAAATTAAAACACCATATATAGAGAAGAATCATTATACGGTGGTTGGTATACAAAATTCCAATATTTAATATTCTTAAAACCTAGGCGTATAAATGACGACAACAAGTATACGCACAAATATCCCCAAATAAGCTTCAACAACTGCTCAATTGTATGACTTTTATTCAAATGACTTAACCTAAATCTCTCTCTCTCTCTCTCTCTCTCTCTCTCTCTCTCTCTCTCTCACTTAATGTATTACTATTTAGTTTGTATTTTGGCACTCTTTATAAATCTGACCTCATCACTTCGCCTCTTCTGCTGCTGAGCGTGTAATTACAACGTTTGCAGCATGTGATGCGTGCGTTAAAAGCATGTTAACAATTTGTTAGCTGCTATGTTAAATCCATTATCGGTTATTGCATTGAATTTGACCCCATTTTATAACACTTTTGTCCATTTTGGTCTACTACGGTTGCAATACGCACTTAGCGGCTAGTACTCTGGCAAACTGTGTTTTTTGTTGTTGTTGGTGCTGCTTCAATTCGCTTTGCAGTTATTCTGCTGGTTGTCCAGTTTTAGTTTTTTTTTTTTCGTTTTCCGTTTAAACTATTGATTACATTACATGACCCGTACACACACATTCACCAGACACGTGTTCGCCTGTGGGTAATGATGGTCGATTTTGGAATGGGTGGATGGACAACCAAACAAGAACCCAAAAAAAAAAAATACAACTGAATGAATACTAACTCAAAATAGAACAAATGTGTAAAAGCAATTTCCGTTCTGGCAAATAAGTTTTTGGTAGAGGTACTTTATATCCCATGGGGAATGTGTCGATATGATTTTCATGAAATTCATATGTATTTTTATTTTATATCAAAAAAAAAAAAAAAAAAAAAAATTGAGAGACCATTCCTGTTTTTTTTCATCAAACACAATCGCACACGAATTTCTTCTATTGATTATTTCTTCTATAAATGTGAGAGAAATTCGCCTGGGCATTACAGTGACCATTGGAAATGGTATACCGAAAACATGCCTGAATATTGGCGAAAAAATCGAGTATTATATTTCCATGACATTCATATACATGTGGAGGAAATTTTATGGTTTCCGTTCAATATGTTTGTGTGCGATGAAACACACACACTCCCACAGAAAACATTGGCAATTTAATAGCACGTTTGGCGAAAATTACCTAAAAAATATTTAAATTTAAGAAAAAATAATTATGTGAACAATTTTTCAAATAAGCTAAGAAGACCTACTACATATGTATCTCTCATTGGTTAAGCTTTGAATCCAAAAAAAAAAAAAATCGTATACTCTTTTAGAAGTATGTACAAATTCTTAATTTCATTCCGTGCGATTTTCTTAATCAAATACAAGTTTCTATGTTAACATAGAAACACACACACACACATGTATGCCCCTGAGAAATCATCATTGTATTTGATCATGTGGGCATTGACTCAATTTTCCGGCATTTTTTCGTCCA